CCAGGTAAAGATACAACAAAGAAACAAAACTATAGGTCAATATCTCTAATGAACATTGATGCTAAAATCCTCAACAAAATACTGGCAATCCAGATGCAGCAAGACATTAAAAAGATCATACATTCTGATCAAGTGGGATTTATCCCAAGGATGCAAGGATGGTACAATATTCACAAATCAATGAAGATAGTACACCACAAAAACGAAATGAAGAACAAAAGTCACAGAATCATCAATAGATGCTAAAAAAGCATTTCATAAATTCCAGTACACCATTCGTGATAAAAACATTCAGCAAAGTGGGAATAGAGGGAGAATTCCTGAATATAATAAAGGCCATATATGAGAAACCTACTGCTAGCATCATACTCATTGGGTAAAAACTAAAGGCTTTCCCCTTAATATCAGAAACAAGCCAAGGGTGTCTGCTTTTCAACATACCACTGGAAGTCCTAGCCATAGCATTCAGACAAGAAAAAGAAATAAAAGATATCCAAATAGGAAAGGGGAAGTGAAACTGTCATTATTCAGAGACAACATGATATTGTGCCTAGAAAACCCTACAGTCTCCACCCAAAAAAACCCTACTCTACCTAACAAGTGAATTTGGCAAAATAGCAAAATACAAAGTCGATATTCAGGAATCAATGGTATTTTTCATACACCAACAATAAACTACCAGAAAGGGAAACTAAGAAAAAATTCCCACTTACTATAGCAACAAGAAAAGCAAAGTACCTAACAGCAAATTTAACCAAGGAGGAAAAAGACCTGTACTTAGAAAACCAAGAACACTGAAGAAAGAAACGAAGGAAGATACAAATAAATGGAAGCATATACTCTGTTTATGGACTGGAAAATAAGCATTGTTAAAATGTCCCTCCTCCCCAAAGCAATCTATAGATGCAATGCAATTCCTATTAAAATACCAATGGCATAATTCACAGATCTAGAACAAGTATTTCAAAAATTTGTATAGAACAAAAAAAGACCCCCAAAAGCCTCAGCCATCATGAGAAAGAAGGACAAAGTAGGAGGGATCATAATACCTGATATCAAACTATACTACAAGACCACTATAATCAAAACAGTCTGGTATTGGCATAAGAACAGACACATAGATCAATGGAACAAAATAGAGAGCCCAGAAATAAATGCATGTCTCTACAGTCAATTAACATTTGACAAAGGGGGACATGAGCATACAACAGAGTGAAAATAGCCTCGTCCATAAGTGGTTGGGAGAACTGGACTGGTACATGTAAGAAAAAAATGAAACTAGAGATTTCCAGTTAAGATGGAGGCATACACACTGTGCTTCCTTGCATGACCAAAAGAAAAACAACAAATTTAAAAGCAAAAAACCACAGATCTGCCAGAAAATCAAATTGTGTGGAAGTCTGACAACCAAGGAGTTACAGAAGAAACATCCACCCAGACCGGTAGGAGGGGCAGAGATGGGCAGCCAGGAAGAAAGGACTCACAGCAAGGCAGTGGCTGGAGAACAGGGGCAGACGAGGCGGTGGCTGGCAAAGCGGGTGGTCCCACATTCAAGTGCAGGTTAAACTGGATGGAACTGGGGAGCAAGACAGACTGCGCAACCCAGGGTTCCGGTGTGGTGAAATAAAGCCTCAAAACCTCTGACAGAAAAAACTTGTGGGGTTGAGGCAGTGGGAGACACTCCACCCTCACAGGAGGGTTCACTGGAGAGACCCACAGGGTCCTAGAATGTACAGGACCCACCCACCTTGGAATCTGCACCAGAAGGGCCCAATTTGCTTGTGGGTAGTGGAGGAAGTGACTGAAAGCCAGCAGAGAGCTGAGCAAGTGGTATTGTTCCCTCTTGGACCCCTCCCCCACATACAGCACCACAACATGGTAACTTCTGTTGCCCTACCCCGGAGAATATCTAAGGTTCTGCCACTTACTACATAACAGGCAGGAGGAGACCAAAAAAAAATGGCCCAAATGAAAGAACAGAACAAATCTTCAGAAAAAATACAACTAAGCAAGGAAGAGATATCCAACCTATCAGATGCACAGTTGAAAACACTGGTACTCAGGATCCTCACAGAAATGGTGGAGTAGGGTCACAAAATAGTGGAAAAAGTGAAGGCTATGAAAAGTGAAATAAAGGGAACTAACAGTGAAGGGAAGAAAACTGGGACTCGAATCAACAGTTTAGACCAGAAGGAAGAAATAAACATTCAACCAGAACAGAATGAAGAAACAAGAATTCAAAAAATGACAAGAAGCTTAGGAACCTCTGAGACAACTTTAAACGTTCCAATATCTTAATCTAATCACAGGGGTGCCAGAAGAAGAAGAGAAAGAACAAGAAATTGAAAATTTATTTGAACAATGAAGGAAATCTTCCCCAATTTGGCAAAGAAAATAGACTTCCAGGAAGCCCAGGAAGCTCAGAGTCCCAAAAAAGTTGGACCCAAGGAGGAACACACCAAGCCACATCATAATTACATAATCCGAAATTAAAGGTAAGAAGAGAATATTAAAAGCAGCAAGAGATAAGGAGACAGTTACCCACAAAGAAGTTCCCATATGATTAACAGCTGATTTCTCAAAAGAAACTTTGTAGGCAAGAAGAGGCTGAACAGAAGTATTCAAAGTGATGAAAAGCAAGGACCTACATCCAAGATTACTCTATCCAGCAAAGCTATCATTTAGAATGGAAGGGCAGATAAAGTGCTTCCCAGACAAGGTCAAATTAAAGAAGTTCATCATCACCAAGCCCTTATTATATGAAATGTTAAAGGGACTTATTTAAGAAAAAGAAGATAAAAAATATGAAGAGTTAAATGACAACAGACTCACAACTATCAACAACTGAACCTAAAAAGAAAACAAAAACAAAAACAAACTAAGCAAACAACTAAAACAGGAACAGAATCACACAAATGGAGATCACATGGAGGGTTATCAGTGCAGAGAATGGGGGGATGAGGGAAAAGGTATACAGAATAAGTGGCATAAATGGTAGGTACAAAATAGACAGAAGGAGGTTAAGAATAGTGTAGGAAATGCAGAAGCCAAAGAACTTATATGTACGACCCATGGACATGAACTAGGGGTGGGGGATGCAGGTGGGGCGGTGTGTGCGGGGCAGAGGGCAATTACAGGGGGAAATGGGACAACTCTAATAGCATAATCAATAAAATACACTTAAAAAATGAAACTAGACCACCAACTTACAGCATACACCAGAATAAACTCAAAATGGATAAAATACTTAAATATAAGTCATGATACCAAAAAAGTCCTGGAGGAAAAGCATAAGTAGTAAAATTTTAGATATCCTATGTAGCACTATTTTTTGCTTATATATCTCCTTATAGCAAGGGAAATAAAGAAAAAATAAACGGGACTACGTCAAATTAAAAAGCTTATGCAGAGCTAAAGAAATCATCATCAAAATGAAAAGGGAACCTATTTTATGAGTGAACATATTTGCCGATAGTATATTGGACAAGGGTTTCGTCTCCAAAATATATAAAGAACTCCTATTACTCTGTCAGCCTGTTCTCTATTTCAGTGTCAAACAACAATTAAACAAAAAAATTAAAATTAAAAAAATATGTATTCTCTACTTTAAAAAAAAGAAGTCATATTACTCAATACCAGGAAGGCAAATAACCCAATTAAAAAATTGCAAAGGACCTGAATAAAGGATACTTTTCCAAGGAAGACATACATATGGCCCATAGACATACGAAAAGATGCTCAACATCAGTAGCCATCAGATATGCAAATTAAAACCATAATGAGATATCACCCCACATCTGCCAAAATGGCTATCATTAATAAATCAACAGCGAAGAAGGGCTGCCAAGGATGCGGAGAAAAGGGAACCCTAGTGCACTGTTGGTGGGAATGCAGAATAGTGCAGCCACTATGCAAAACAGCATGGAATTTCCTCAAAAAAAAAAAATGGACTGCCTTTTGATCCCACAATTCTACTGCTGGGAATAGAACCTAAGAATCACGAATTTCCAATTCAAAAGAACTTATGCACCCCAATTTTCATAGCAGTGATATTTACAATAGCCAAGTGGTGGAAACAGACCATGTGCCCATCAGTAAATGAGATAAAAAACTGTGGTACATTTACACAATGAAATACTATGCAACAGAAAGAAAGAAGGAACTCCTACCTGTTAGGACTGCATGGATGGAAGTACAAACTATTATGCCAAGTTAAATAAGAAGTCAGTATAAGAGAAATACCATATGACCTCACTTATAAGAGGAATTTAATGACCAAAATAAACTGAGCAAAATAGAACCAGAGGCAACAGAATCATGGAACACACTGATAGCTGTAGGATAGAAGGATGGAGACAGAGACTGTTTGAAAGATGAAGAAATTATTCAGGGAATTTATATGAAGGACCCATGGACATGGACAAGGTATGGGGATTGACTGTGGGGGGGGGGAGTGCAAATGGGGAAAATTTGGGACAACTGTAATGGAATAACATTAAAAAAACTTTTAATATAAAAATGACAGTTATTTCATAGCTTTTTAAATGCCATTCCCTTGACAGTAAATGAGGCATAATAGAGCACTTTATTGTTTATGCTCGCATGAAAAATTAGTGACGTTAATTTGCGTGTTTTAAACTACCTCGTAGAGATGCAAATGTTCTGTCCAATTAGCACATTAAAATGTCAACTTTTAAGTTGGAACTAACATTCTATCATTTAACTATAAATATCCTCTTACTAGCACTCGTAAGCAACATCTACCGGTCAAGGAAAACTTCACAAAGCTACCCCTCAGTGAACGACACCTGCAACCATCACCTTGAATACTGTTTCCAGTCCCAGGCAGGTGGGCAATTACCCAGTCCACGCACTGGGCGTAAAGCCATAGCTGCACCTGATTGGTTTATGAGTTTGTCAGTCAAGTCGAAAGAGTGGGTTCTCAAAGTCCCGCTTTCACCGAGCGCTGTTTTACGTCATCGCCGAGCGACAAAAGCAGGAGGGAGGCGGGGGTGGTGTTGGGGGCAGCTTGTGTAGGTATCATGGCTGCTGTGGCTGAGCTTAGTCTCCCGTGCGCCGGTGACCGGAGCCTGGAGCAGAGCTGCAGCCCCAACCTCTCCCAAGAGGTGCTGTTCGAAATCTTTCGCTCCCTGCATACCCTGGCTGGACAAGTGAGTGATGGCCTGTGGGAGTGTTGGTACGAGAACCCTCCCGCCCCTCCTCTTACCTCTAGCTGAGGCGAGGGGCGGGACGGGGGCCTTGGAGCTTGGGGACCCCCGAGGCCTGCCTGGGGCCCGGCCGAAGTAGCTGAGGTCCTGGAGGAGCCGGTGCCCAGCCACCTGGGGTCGGAGTGAGGGTGGCGGAGCGAACCGAGTTCAGGACCCGCTGCGGGCGAGATTTCCTTGCAGCTTCTCTCCCCAGGAGTGAGTGAGGTTAGTGGAAACCTGGCTCCGAGAGGAACCGGTTGAACGAGTGCGGAAGAGCCGTGAGGGCTTGGTACGCTCCTGGCGCTTAGGTACCTTTTCCTCCAGTTCGTTCTCTGTAGAAATTGGTAGGTTAGTATGGCCTGAGGTTTCTGGAAAATCTCTCCACCTTTTTTATATATGTATATATATGATTTGCCCTTAGGAGTCACTGACTTTCTTTTTTCCTTTTGGCCGTTGTGTGCTCTAATTACCTTTTCAAAGGAGGAGAAACATAAAATAAATTAATCTGAAATAATTAGATCAAAAAGTTGTATGAGTTATCCATGGTGGATACTGTTCACGTCAGAACTGTTGTTTAACTGTTAACTACTTTAATTGGCTGATGTATAGCTTTTTGCAGAAACGTCAGAATAAAATGCTGTTTAAATAAAAGTGCTCCTTACAGTATTCCAGTCAAGTCACTATTTTGTTTCATGATGTAAAGTGTAAAGCAAATTTTAAATAAAAAACAACTTGAAAGAGCTTGTTTTTTTTTAAAGAAATATTTTTGCTTATAGCTTAGATGGAGTATTTTCTAAATATAAAACTTTGTTGAGGGGCAGGTACTAGTGCATGTAGTAGGAACGGAAGGCGTTTGTGTCAAAGATAATGTAACTCTTATGAAAAGAGCGTTTGTCTGATTTGTGAAAATTATTTTTAAAAGCTTTGGGGGGATGGAAAATCAATATTTTAGAAAGTCCTAATATGTTTATCGTGATTTACAAAGAGCATTGCTTTAAGTTAAACATTCAGTTTGGTGTACTAGAACGATTATTAATAGAATCTGCTAAAAGCTGTAGCATTTAAATTCAGTTATTTGCCATGAACTTATAAAAAGCTATTCCAAAGACTTGGGGACATTAACATTTCAGTCTTAAGACCCAAAACCTATAAATGGTTTAAAAGTTGGAGAACTTTTTTCTGGCCTGGACATGGAACTTTTAAGGTTTTTAGTTTTTTGTGATGAGATTTTTTTTAATGAAAAAAGACATAATTTTAACGTGCCTTTTAAAATATTTGGTGTACTGAATTTTGAAAACTCGTTTAAAAATTTAAACAAGTATTCTGTAGGTACAAGTACAGATGTGATTAAAATTTGCTCATGTCACCTGTCAAATGTTTAGAGTAAATATTTGGCAGTTTACTTAATACAATGAAGTGACCGTGTATACAGGTGTTAAAAAATAAAATTGTGTCATCAATTAAATGGCTAACCATTTTGATAATACTCTATATTTTGAAATTTATTTCTTAAAGATGAGAATGGAAGCCTGAGTAGCATACTTTACAAAATTGCCCATGGAGAAAGTTTCTATTTCTTTTTGCAACAAGTTTAAAGGATTTTTTAAAAATGCATGTTGTAATGTGCCTAAGTTCATTCTGTATATTATATTAGCTCTCAAAAGGGGAACATAAAATTGAATATAAAAAAGTATTTTCTATTTCATGTTTCAAATTTACTGATTTTTAACCTTACTGCTTGTCTCTGGGTGGGCCATTTTACCAAGCTGAAGAATTGCTTATTTTGAGCTTGGATTTTTAGGTTAATCTAATAAAGTTTTTATTGAAAATGCATATTTAAATAGTTCACATTAATGGCAGACTAATACACTTTTGAGTGAGTGTTTTACAGTTACAAGTTCTATATGGTAAAAATACATAGAATTTGTACTACTAACGGAATTTGTTGAGTAACTATTGAATGTGTTGGGATAGTTTTAATTTGTAGCAGTATTATGTGGTCTTCTGAAGTTGCACTTCTTTAATTTCACTTGAAGTTTTACATAATCTTGCTGACTGAAAATGAGAATGTGATCCAAATATTATGATTTATTTTCTGTAAGTCATTATTTTCTCTAGAAAATTTGATTCTGTTCTTTGGTTAAGGATTGTTTGCTTTATCCCCAAACAGTATTCATAAGTTTGTATAGTTGAATATAGATCTTTTTGAAGACTGTAAAACTATAGTAATAGTTTATTTCATATATAAGTTGTCTAAAAAAGTGTTTATAGATATTAAGTAACACAAGATTAACGTGGTAATCTTAATGTAGAACCTTAGTACAATTGATATAAACTAACCTTTGTCAGTGCAACCTATACAAAACTTCCTTTTTCTTTGTACTTGTCTAATACGGACTATAAGTGATTTCTGGTCTCCTGTTCAGAGAGTGGTAGATTTCTGTCTTACACTGTTCATTCACTATAGTGTTTTTTGAATTTCTTTGGTTCTTGGTAGTTATTCATTTTTTTTGTTTTATTATAATTACAACTCATAAGACTTGTATTTGAACTGTCATGCTTGTCTTTATTTTGTACAAAATGTGACTAGTTTTTAAAAAACGATTTCTGAAAAAATAATATAGTAGTTAACTTGATCCTGCTATGCAGGATATATATCCTTATAGTATAAACACGTGTTGCTGTTTATGGAGGTTCACTTTTATTCATTCGAAGGATTAAGGATAGAGGCTTTCCCTCTGAAATTTTTGCTGATTTTGATATTAATTGTAAATTTAGGGTTTTGGTAGTTTTTTCCATATGTAACTTTATTTAAATAGGTCACATTTACCTAACTTATAATAAATTGAAAATACAGTTCAGCAAAACATCTGGTCATTTCATCCAGTCTCTGGCTGTTTATTTCACTATTGTAGAAAAGCATTTGTTTTTCAATTTCAGGTTTCCACAATTAATAAAAGTTTAATTTTTATTTGAAGTAGATAAACATGTTGTCATTTATCCCTAGACTATATATGTGAATAATTATGACTTTTAATTTATTTTGAAAATTGTTTAAAGTTGAAAACAATAAAAATGTGGTACAGAAGATGTCAGAGTAATAATATAGTTCAGTTATCTATTTATGTATATATTCCACAGAAGGAATGTGGATATCAGCACTTTCATAAATGTGCATGCCCCTCTGTTTAATGCTCTGAACCTGAAGTGTAGGATTCTGAATAGCGCAAGCATATCCTGGCCTCTGTCAAAAGGTTTTTAGATATTGAAGTGTCAAAAAAAAGCCTCATCTTTTCATCTTTTGTGGATGGTTTCACCCCCTAAATGATCCCATTACAAAAAACCAAGAATAGAATTAGAATGAGATGTCATTTTACTTTTTAATGAGAATGGCACCTTTATTGGCCTTTTCAAATGGTAACTTGATAGAGCGTGTTAATAATGTATCATTAAAAACTTGATAACTTTGATCTAAATAGGCGCGTTACTGTTTAGAAATCTTTTTTTGTGTGTGAGAATCCCATATACGTACAGCTTAATCGTATAATTTTTGTAATGTTGCTGGTTTGCCCTTTTGAAGCTTAACCTCAGAGATGATGTGGTGAAAATTACAATCGATTGGAACAAACTCCAGAGTCTCTCAGCATTCCAGCCTGCTTTGCTCTTTAGTGCACTCGAGCAGCACGTTTTATATTTACAGGTAAATTCTTGTTTAAAATGTTAACTCGATATAAGTATTAAGTGTACTTTAATTATAAGTTGGAGTATTTGTCAGTTCTGTCTTAACACTGTATTAATAGTATTAATAATAAAAGATTACTTCAACCAGATTGGATCCAAATCTGTCAATTTACATAGTGATCAGGACAGTTACAGGAATATAGCCCAATAGGCCGATGTGGGTATGAAGATTGAATGAACACAATTCTATTCAATTCGAGACTTGCACTGAAAATTCAATACAGTTGCATCTATGGTGGGTTATAATTAAGCAATAAGACACGGCAGGTGTGTGTCATGCCATGATAATGATTCCATGCCTTGGGTGAGTTTGGAGGCTCATGGAGTGCTTTCAGTGGTTCAAGAAGTGGCATTATCCCAGCATGACACATCCTGGAGTGTCTGTTGCAATTAAACAGTTTCAGCATAGTTTTTAAAAAAGAAAGTAATTTCTGTGGCATTAATGTCTCATCTTAGTCAGTATCCAGTCACTATGTTACCTTTTCTTTTTCTTAATGGTTTGAAATAATTCATACTTTGTATTAGAAGTCAAGATTAAGTTGTTGTTTATAATAATATTGCCATGTTATAAAATATTTAGTATATTAGTTCAAATAACTGAATAGCATTTTGATCTTGCTGGTTTTCAGTTGAACATGTCTACAATTATAATTGATGCAAGTTTGCAGTTTATCTCTTATCAAAATATAAAATATGAAGTGTCAAAAGGTAACTGGAAGAACTATTTAGACTGGTCAGTTTGTTGCTATTGCGATGTAAGGTTTTCAGAAGAGTATTTGGTATAGCAAACAATGGAAGCAAAATAATTGAAATATAGACAAGCGCAGGTGTGTTTTGATTAATGGAAGAGACATTAATTTTCAATTCTCTGTTTAATGACTTTGGAAATTTTTAATTCTGTTTTATGTTAAAAGTAATAGTTAGCCCTATTTCTGCCCTAATAGTTTTAAAGGGCAGAAGCAGTGACTCTAGAACTCAGTTGAGGCCTAATTGTGGTGGGGACATAAGTAGTATAATTCACATTATACAGCAGGGTTTTTTTCCCCTCTAGTATACTGATAGGCATCTGTCTCTTTTCATCTGTGGGTCGTGGTAGGTTTCTTTTTTTGTTGTTTTGTTCATTTTCTTTGTAAAAATTTGATTTCGTGACCCAAGAAGATACCTTGCCATGTCAAGAAAAGCCTGAGTGTTCACTCAGCCTAACACCTATGTATTTCATGTCTATACTCTCTCATTCACTTTGGCCAACTGCAGTTTCAAGTGGAGAATCTCCAGTGATATAGTGATAATGCAGGGCTTTGCTGAGTGAGAGCACTGGCTCTCATGTTAAAGAGGAAAAATACTAAGCCTAGTGTTCTGAGGAGGCATTTGAATGACATGTTAATTAAGTGGCATTGGTGCCAGAGGCTGAGGCTTTGATATGGCACAAAATAAAAGATGAGTGACAGAACGATTCCCTCAAAGAAAATTTTAAATTTCCTCAGGTTTTCTGTCTCTCCTTTAAAAAAAAAAAAAACCAGACATATAACAAATACTAATGGTCACAATACAGAGAACAGCATACAGTTACTAGTGGTCAGATTTATATATTCTGATATGCTAACTTTTTATATTTAGCTAATTGACTCTAAATATTTCACTTATGTAGCAGGAATTTATATAAATATGATAAATGTATAATTAATTTTGATCAGTTTGAACCCCAGCAAATGGATTGTGTTCTTCTTAGCCTTTTTTAGCAAAACTTCAGCCTCTGATAAAAGAGGAGAATACAGCTGTTGTTGAAGAGATAGGAAAAGGAGAAAAAGGGAGCAAGAATGAAGTAGATGCCATATTTCCCGTTGGTGACCTACAGAAGGAAGAACAGCACAAAGACTGTGATTTAGGGGATGTGAAAAAGACACAGGTCCATTTTGATCCAGAAGTAGTTCAAATAAAGGCTGGAAAAGCAGAAGTAAGAAGGTTTTATTTTCGGGGGGAGCATTAGTTTTTAAATATTGTTATATTTGAGTTATTTAAACATGCATACTTACTGTTTGTAGATTGACAGACGAATATCTGCATTTATTGAAAGAAAGCAAGCTGAAATCAATGAAAACAACGTCAGGGAATTTTGCAATGTTATTGATTGTAATCAAGGTAACTATCTACAGGAATAATTTTCATAGGATTTTAAGAACAGTTTTTACAGTTGCTCTGATCTTTCACTTGTTTTTAAAAATAACATTAAGAATGCAGTTTATTTCATAAGTTTACTTAGAAACCAAGGCAACAGAATTTCCTTCTGTTTAATAATAGACTATATTGCAAAATGGTTTCATTTACACAAAAATCAAATAAATGGTAGCATAATAAAAGGCGCATGTTTACCACAGGTGAAATGTTTTGAAATTTTTTTAGAAAATGAAAATGAAGTGTGGGTAACAGAGTTGCTGGGTCTCATTAGTAAGAAGGAACTAAGCTATATAAATTTCATGCCTGTAAATGTACTTACGAAATTATGATGTGAACTTACATAAAGTGAACATTGTAAAGTTAATATTCCTCAAGAGGGAGCAGTTTTCTCAATGCTCCTACGCTGTTCAAAATGTTTTATGTCACGATAAAACAATTTGTCATGAAACTGTGATGCTTATGCTTTTTTCTTTCTCTCACTTGCTGTTTTTCATCAGATTCTCCTCTTCCTCCCCAGTTGATGCTGTAGTATATTTATAGACCTGCAGGTATGCTGCAGAATACAAAACATTGTAAAGCACTGGCATAGGGCATTCAGGCACCATAGTAATAATCAGAACAAGTAGTCTTATAAAAATTATGGAGAAGAGGTTCTAATTGGAATGAGGATTTTCCTTGTTGCTTCTAATATCTCATGGCTAATTATCATGAATATAGAATTGTCAGATGAACCTAGAATTGACTCTTACTATATTGGTACACTGATTCTCTTAATAATGAAATAATACATTCTCAAGTTGGGTCCTAAAATCAGCCTTTTCTACTGTTAACATTATATGTGCATATCTCTAGATTTGGTATATTTTCCTGTTAGTTTCTCAAAACAGGTGCAACACTGGCAGAATCTCAGGTGCTACAGTCCCACTGCAAACAACCCATGAGAAAGGGTTTGTTGAGGGAGCAAGCACATGTGTCACTAATGTCATTCCTCTGTTCTCCCTGCTAACTCTATTATTATAAACCACCAGGGGATAGAAATTGACAAGAATTGAAATGCTCAGCAGGATTCCTTGGCCCATTCAATTTCTTGCTGGCTCCAAACAGTGCTGGGAAGAATTGCTGTGGAGAGTGCCTAGCACTCCTACATTCACTGTCTTCACACCGTGCTGAATTTCTCTCTGATGGGTCATTTAATCTATATATTTGTAATATAGCTCCAGAATGGATGATAGCTTCTTTTTTTAACCCTTAGCCCTGTGAAATTTTAGAAAGGGAATGGAGAAGTGATGGCCCTCTAAATTATATTTTGAGGTGTCTCAAAACAAAAATTAAAAAAGAAAAGAAAAAGAAAAGGATTGTTTAGTATTTATCTATAAAAGGTAAGTGAATTTGGCATTTATTCACACAGTTTGGTTTTATCAGCAGAACTATTATGAAAACTCAGACTGAAAAAAATAAAAATGTGTTACTCTAACGTGTTAGTGTATTCCTTTCAATGCTTCTCAGTTTGATTTAAATATATAAACAGTGGGTTTTTAAAAAAATTTAGTGGGGAAAGAATTTTTTTCAGTATCTCTCTTGCCATTTATTATAAAATAAGGATAATATTTCAGAAAATATATGGTAATGGATGGTTTTACCTAATATAATTTAAAATGCTATTTTATAGTATTTGAAACATTTATATATTATGTTAACATCTTTCTAGTAGTACCCCTTTTTAAAACATTTATTTATTGATACCTGATTTGTAAGAAACTATACTTTTAATCTTAGAAAAAAAAGAACAAATTCCCACAAGGTAGCTTTTGTAAAATTGCATTTTTTCGAAAGGGTGGCAGTCTGGAAAGAGGTAGATAGATGGCTTTGTAATACAGAGATTTTTTTAAAGGAGCATTGGGAATCTGGGTAAAATGTTTATGTGGAGTTCGGATATAAAAATGTGGAAATGTGTAATGAATCCTTTTTGTTAGATGGTCACTAATTTGGTCAGTATGTAATATCAAAAAATGCTGGGTCTTTTAAAAAGGAAGTTTAGTAAAAATAATTAGTTTTTTTCATTTCTGTGTTGAAATAAAGTGAATAACATCTCTTTGACTTAGAATTAAGATATTCTCTCTGCTATATAAAGTTTTCCTCCAGAGACCCAGATGATTTTTAGGGATATTGGTATTCATTAAAAATTATATTATGCCACCGAATGTTGAGGACTGTTGTATGTATAAATTCAAAAATTAGATTAGATGTTACACATTTTAGAGGACAGAGATCACTACATTTTATCCTGTATGTGATGGTAATTTAATTACTATTTCTTAAGACTGTATTCTCTTATTATAATAATATGTTAACTAATACAAATTATTGGAACTTTGTCAAAATCTCATACATTTGAAGTAAGAATATACTTATATTTATCTAACTTCTCCTTAGAAAATAGTTGTGCAAGAACCGATGCCGTTTTTACCCCTTACCCTGGATTTAAAAGTCATGTAAAAGGTAAGTATCTACTATTTGATGAGGCTTATTGTAGATTATAAGCAAAATGTAGTAAAAATCACTTTTTCTATCTAAATTTTGTTCATTTTAAACCAAAAAATCCTGCCTTTTGTTGTACTTGGATTTGTGGTTAGATAGTCTTTATGTAAATATATAAAGTCCCGTTAAGGAGAAAGAATTTCTGGTTTTTGAAATGTAAGTTTAATAGGTTCAGAAATTTCTTAACTTAGTTTCTAGAGTTGTGAATACATACGGACCACAGACTCGGCCTGAAGGAGTGCAAGGGTCAGGCCATACACCGAGCATGCTCCGAGATTGTGGTAATCAGGCTGTAGAAGAGCGACTACAGAATATTGAGGCTCACTTGCGATTGCAGACAGGTAAGCAGAGTGCTGGGCAGTGCTCTGTAGTCTAACTGTGCAAGTGGCTGAAGAAATGCAGTTCATTTAGTCACCAAATTTTTATTCAGCTCCTGTTATGTATTGTTCAAAACAGGGTTTTGGTTGGTACAAAAATAAAAAACAAAACATGGTCCCTGCTCTCAAAGAATTTATAGTTCATGTGTTTATGCTCTTCTTCCTCTTCTCACCAGTTTGAGAGTTTTAGTAGAATGGGAACAGGTTCTAAGGAGATCCTGACACTCAATTTATTAAAGTTAGAGCTGGAAACTAAGTCTTTTTCTGCCATTAGTTTCATAACCTAACTGTGACCATTGTTTGTTCCTGTCATCTACTGTACTAGGTACAAAGTATTGATAAATGTGATTCTAGTCCTCATGGAACTCTCAGTGAGGGTAAGCATATAAATAAATGAATGCCACGGGGAAAGTGAACTAACACTTATTGAATAATACTAAGTGCCAGTCACTCTGAGAGAATTCTGCATATGTCAGTGCACTTAATATTTAACAGTTCTCTTGTGAGGTGTTGGAGCTGCTACCGTTGTTGGATAAAGAAACTGCAGTTCAGAGAGCTCCGGCAACATGCCCAAGGTAGTGACAGCTAGAAGTCAAACCTAGATATTAACTGGCTGCAAAGCCTGGGTCTCCCTCCTCCTCTAGTCACCAGATTCTGTCTGTTCTCTCTCTAAAATCTTCCTCAAATCTACCGACGTCTTTCTGTGTCCACAGCAGCTACTCTAGTTGAAGTGACTGTATTCTTAGACTGGTGGAAGGATGTTAACTGGTTGTTCTGCCATTGGACTTCCTTCTTGAGACCAATTTTTTTTACCTTGTGGCCCAGTTGCTTTTCTTAAAGCTCAAATCCTGTCTTGCCACTCCCCAGCTAAAAATTTTTTAGTGGTTTGCTGTTGCCCTTATATGCATACCAAACTTAGTACTTATTCATTCCACAAATAGGTATTAAGTTCCTACGATAAGCCAGGTACTATTCTAGGCACTGAGAATACACGTAGTCAGAAATTCTAGTACATCAATTATATGCTCCACTAGGAAAGAAGGTCTATGGATGGAGCAGCTTGACCAAGGAAAGGGGAAGGAGATTCAGATGGGTAAGGGTAATAATTTTAAACAGCATGATCTACATCTTTAATCTCAGCCACATCTCTGGCCTCCCCAAGCTTTCTATTAATTTTGCTATCATAGGGCCTTTACCCAGGCTTTTTTTTAAAACCATACTTTCCCTCCTGACCCCACACTGGTGTGGTTACCCTTTATTATTTAGCCTCATAGCACTTGGTACTCTTGTCTCCTCTACTAGATAGTAAGGTCAGTGAGATCAAACTGTCAGGTTCATTACTATGTACCTAGTGCAGTGCCTGGCACAAAACAGGTATTTGTTTGGCACAAAACAAGTATTTGCTGAAGGAACAATTTGCTCATTTTACCTTTTTAGATATCTGCAAAGCACAGTGGGTTTACAAAGTTAACATCTAGCTGTCTTGGGAGGTCAAGGAATGGTGTCCCTGGTAAAGTGACATTTGAGCCTTTGAAGGGTTCGTAGGAGTTTTTCAGTGGACAGGAGCAAAGGATTCCGAAAATGAACAGCATCTGCAAAAAGTACTGAGGCACAAAATATGGCTCAGGAAATTTCTGAGTCCTGTCCAGCTGGAGTATTTGCTGGATAGAGGTAAAAGAGAATGAGTAAAGCTTTGAGGGTTATAAGAGATTAGTATTCAAATTAATCCTTTTGCCCAGAGCTAAAGGAATTTAAAATATAGCTGTATGAAAGGATTGACAGATTTGTTAAGTTTAATAGTATCAAGTAGTTAATTTTGAAAAATACCTTTTGAATGTCCACTACATGCCAAGCTCTGTTTTAGACAGGAGGGATACTGAGATGATGTAATCATAGTCTTGCACTTCAAGGACTTTATAATTGTTTGGGAGAAAACAGATTAATAGTGAAGTGGAGTGTTAAGGGGGCTGTGAAGGAAGAGTGTGGTGGGGGCACAAGGAGCCACGATGTGAAGTGATTTGGGCAGTGCTTTATTGAGTCAGTGAAACTTGAACTGGCTCTTGAAAGGTGCAAGGGCGAGGCAGAGGGTGTTCTAGGTAAAGGGAGCGGCAAGAACAAAGTCACATGAATAAGTTATTCATTTTACTTTATTCAAGAGCAAGAATCACCAAGATCCCGAGATAAAATATATATTTTTAGAATTTTTATATTTTACAAGCTAATAACTTTTGATAAGAAATTTTCCCATATTGTTTCATTGCACAGTCATGGGTTCATTCAGTCATTATATAGTGAGCACCTGTGTAGTCTGCTGACTGATGCTTCCTAGGTTTGTGCAGGGCACAAGCTGACAGGCATACCCAATGAACAAATGGTAAAATTATGCCCTCCTGGATCTCAGAGTGGAGAATCAAGCAATAAATAAACAAAATACATCTACAGAATATTGAGTGGTAGTAATGGTTTGGAGAAAAATAAGGGAAAGGAATGAGGATAGGGGTGCCAGGTAGGGGGAGGTGGTAACACTGGTAGTTTTTAAAGGGTTGTGAACCCTGACCTGAGGTTGGTGAGAGTAAGCCTCGTGAATATGGAGGCAGAGGGAGCCACAAGCACTAAAACTGAGGGTGCTTGGCCTAGTTGAGTAACAGAAGAAGTAATTAAGAGGCTGGGATGATATGATTATGAGAACAATGTCCAAACTCTGTGGGACCTGTAGACTGTTGTAAAGGCTTTGACTTCGAGTAACATGTGAAAGTTTTGAGCAGAGAAGAAGGCATCTAAGTCACTAGGTTTGAGGGAAGAGGACATGGAGGACAGAAAGTAAGGAGCCGAGTTTTAAAAGATGTTAGCTCAAAAAAATTTTAATTAACAAACAAAAGACATTATTGTAGGCTAATTGGTTGGCGGTGGTGTGAAAGGAGGGAGTTCTAGATAAATGAGATGAGCAATGTAGAAGAGCATTCCAAACTCAAAGAAACCTCGAATTTCGGTAGGTATGTGGGGATCTGGGTATGTGAAGAGGCTCGAGATCTCTCTAGCAAGAGGGCAGATAAGACACTGTGTGCTGGGGGATTAAGATTTTGAGGGTTCTGGAGTCTCTATAGTCAGGGGAATGCTGTCTTACATTTTAAAAGGATTACTGGCCACCATGTTGAGAATATGCTCAGTGGGAGCAAGGCAACAAGGAGCCCGGTTTGGAGGTCATGGTGGTGGTCCAGGGAGAGATGGTGGGGGTCTGGGCCAGAACAGCTGCGTCGGAGGTGTTGAGAAATGAAAAGATTTGGGATGTGGTCATAACCTTGACATTTGAGTGACCTTAATTTACCATCCCCCCACCCTGGAAGGTTTGTTAATTAAGAAAATTGTAAAACTCCTCGCAATGTCGTTCTAGGTTAAAGGAGAAAATATGGAGAGTGATATAAATTGTAGAGAGTAATATAAATGGAGAGTAATATAAGTTGAAAAAAATGATCGGCATATTGCAGCCACTGAGTTGAATTATCAGTTATGACTGTATTTTTCTCCTGCCAAGTAACTATCAAAGTCTATTAAAAATACAAATTGTTCTATACAGGACTGTTCAATATCTTCTAAAATGGATTTAACATAAAACAAAACTCATAGTGATATAGGAAACCTAAATGGAGCTTGGGGAGAGGTATAGTATAATAATATATCCTATAGTCTATAAGATGAAAATGTGAGCTAAGGATTTCATTCTAATCTACTCTTGTTAATTTATTTCCTTAAGTTTAAATATTTCCCATTCCTATGCATAAGTATATGTTTGCCTGGTATTTTAAGAATAAAAACTGTGAAGGGAATTGTTCAAAAGTATCTCAGAATGTTTTCAAATGTGTTTAGGTGGTCCAGTGCCAAGAGACATTTATCAGAGAATTAAAAAACTTGAGGATAAGATCCTTGAATTGGAAGGCATCTCTCCTGAGTATTTTCAATCTGTAGTGAGTATAAGTATCTTTTAAAAATAACTAAGTGTTGTTTTATTTTAGGATTCTTCATTATATAATAATTTAGTCATTGATCTGCTGTAGATAAAACACTTTTAATAATTCCGAGATGAATGAACGTAGTTCTGTGTAGGGTGTTGCCTAGTTCTTTAAAAATTATGATTCCAAATATTGTACTATAGACTCATGATCGTTTTAAAAAGGGTAATTTGATCGTACATTACCCAGTTTCTGAAACTTAAGCCATTCTCGTGGCATAACATATCAGACTAGGTGGTGGTCTGTCTTGTCACTGTGAACCTGCTGCCTTGCAACGCAAAGGCTTCTGGGACCTTGCTCTGTCAGTCTCCTTCCTGTCTCTTTAATCCCTTACTCTTCACAGACTCCTGTCCTCAGCTCGTGGGCGTTTAAGTCTCTCCCCCGGCTCTCCCCCGTGCTGAACACACAGACCTCAGTCTGCCACCCTGCCTTTTTCTTTACCTTAGCCACTGGGCTTTGAAAGGCTAGTCTGTATTGCCCGATTCCTCAACTCTAGCATTTATTTATTTGCTCATTTATTCATTTTTTATCTCTTTCAAAGACAATAAGAAACAGTGTTGTGCCGATAGGTATCTTCTTTGTAACATTATTGTGCTTTAGACAATGATCCTGAGCTCATTGTATTCCCTCCATCTTCTGGAGTGATTTTACCATAAGGACTGCCTTTTCTGAGGTCTGGATGTGTGTTTTTGTTTTTTTAAGCTGTGGCATATTAGAAAAAACTAAAATAATGTAAAAGTGGACAAAAGTTTTAGTAATATTTTTTCTAAAACTTTTTGAAATATGTAAAATAGCTCATATCAGCATGGATCATTATAAGTCACTGGTGAAAATATATTTAAAATTATTTTAGGTATAGCATCAATCTTTCCAAAGCCTTAAATTGGGTATTAGAGTGAGGTACACAAAAGAAGTTATTTCCAGAGAAGGCAGGTTACATAACAAAAGTGAGCAGTGAATTCTAAAGATCACAAGTTCAAAGAAAGAGTTTTAGTGATTTACTTCCCTCCGACGTAAAATGCTGTTTATTAAAGTACTAAGGGCTAATGCAAGGAGTGAGTGAGATAACACCGGTCAGGCACTTACCACCCGACCCAGCACATGGTAAAACGTCAGTATATATTGCCAGTTACCGCATTTCGGGAACCAGCCATGAAGTAGCTGTGTAACTGGGAATGTCACACAGTTCTAGCCTACACTTAAACAGTTTGAGAACTGTTGTTTATACTACATGATTTCAAAGGTCTTTGTACTGCTAGGATTAAGTATCTTTCTAGGAAACTTTATAAAGATTTTATGCCTTTTCCTATAACAGTCTAGCATAAGTTTTCCCATTAAAGTTGCTTTCATTATGTAATTACCAGGCAGGATATTTTTTCAGTTCAATTTCATACCTTGTTAATATAATTCTTGTTAATGATAGAACTGATCTTACAAGAGAATATCAAAGTATTAGACACCTCCAGGGAGACCTTGCCCCACCATTTATCTCTTCTCTCTGATTCTGATTTATAAAAGCTTAACATATACCGGTTATGTAACTCACTAACAAAAGAACAGGTTCTTCAAATAATAATCTTGTTTTGGGGGATCTACTATACATAGGATAGAATTTTTAGGGTGTTTGGTTAAAGAGGAAGAAGTAGTCAGATTATAGAGGACCTTAAATGATACACCCAGAAATTTAAAGTATCCAAAGTTTAAATGCTCTTAAAAGCATTTAAGTAGAGAAGTGACTTGTTCAAGTGTTACTTAGATGATTTATCTAGTATTGTCCTGGGAGGGAAATGGAAATGGAAAGACTAAGAACAAGGAGACGGTATTATACTTACATGTGAAGTGAGATCCTGAGCTAAGGACATGAGAATAGAAAGATTAATGCAGGAGTCAGGAGGAAAGAAAAGTTGACAAATACAGTGTAGATCATTAATATGTGGAGGGACATAGAGCAAGAGTGAGTCCAGTTTCTTGTTGGGAAAATGATGCTACCATTAATAGAAATAAAATCTGGAGGAGGAGATGTTTTGTGGGGGAATGTGAATTTGAAGTCATAGCGGGATATACAGATAGAAATACTGGGTAAGCTGTTCAGGATGTAGGACTCAACACTTGAGAGACTGGGTGACACTGAAGTGCAGCTCACAAAACAGGGGCATTGACAGGAAAACAAGACGCGTGTTGTCCTGGGTTCATAAAATAACGCTGGACAATGTAAAGGTATGTTCATTTATGAAACACACAAAACTCTAAAAATAGTTAACATACATAAAGTAGGAAGTATGATGGAGAATAGTATTTCTCCCCCTTTAATGTAATTACTCCAAAAATCTTTACCCTTCACATTTAGCATGGAAAGATTTGTGTGGTAATGTTTTTAAAAATTTAAGGGCATCGCATAACAGACCATTTTAAAGGCACAATCCTGATGAGTATTTCCAAAGAATTACTAATTTTAAATTATGACCCTTGAAAACAGTGAGTATAGCATGCTTAACAAGTATATTTCCACAGCACTTTCTTCATTTGATAGCACTTATCACTTATAATTACATGTTGTCACATCTGTTTTTCACACTGTATTTTGAATCTCTGAAGGACAAGAACTGTCTTATTCATCTTTTAACACACAGAATGTAGTAGGCATTGAATACATGTGCAAATGAATGGGTAAGATTTGGCTGATCGTTAATTATTGAACTTTTGAAGGTGTGTTAACTTTGTTCCTAAACACTAACTAGACGGAGTCTTGAATTTGTTCTGTAATGGTAACTCCTGGTTCTAAGGGAAGTGTCGGGAGAGGGGGTTGCTGAAGACCAAGTCAACCTTCCGCATACAGGCCAGGCCTGGTGGACCTGAAGCATGAAGCAAACACTGGATCCAGCTGGAAAGTTAAATTGCAAACACATTTAGGAGGGTCTTGAAGGTCACAGGACCCAGTTTGCAATTCCAGTGTCATTGAGAAAAAGAAACCTATAATTGAGGTGCCTATCTGATGGCATTATGAAGTGTGAGTTGGAAAGAGATTAGAGTCAAGGAGAGGAGTTCAGGAAACATCGTTGTCCACACCAGGAAGAAATGAAGTCTGAGTCAGGGCAGTGGGGCCAGAAGGGAAGCATTTAAGACACAGCATCTTTAAAGTCAGTAGTCCTGAACTGATCAGGAATAAGGAAGGGGGTTGGTCAGAGAAGAGGCCTCCTTACCACTGAGCTTCCTTAGAGCATGGGCTCCCTGGACCTCTGGACCTCTCTCTGTCTGTGTGTGTGTGTGTGTGTGTGTGTGTGTGTGTGTGTGTGTGAGAGAGAGAGAGAGAGAGAGAGAGAGAGAGAAAGGGGTGGGGAGAGAGAGAGATCGCCTTTTCATCAGGACATGAGCAATGCAGCTAAATTATCTGCTAAGGTAAAATAACTGGAGAGAAGAGACATTTTTAAAATTATGTCTGTTTAGCTATTTAGTGTGCTATGCTCTCAAATATTTCTCTCAGATACCAAGAACTTAAAAATTTCTGCCTTGTGCCTAAAAACAATGAATTTTAAAGCTAGTCCAGTGTACCCACAGTAGATGTGTTACTAAGTGTTCTGCCTGTTAAAATACTCTGCTCAGGTCTCAGATTAGCCCCTAAGACATCTTACTGTTTTTTTTTTCATCCTTACCCAAGGACATTGTTTTTCATTGTTAGCAAAAGAGAGAGAGGGAGAGAGAGACAGAGAGAAACATTGATTGGTTGCCTCACAGGCTTCTCAACCAGGGATCCAACCCA